TATATATATAGGTTAATGTATCTATTTCTGTTTTAATTTCTAATTATGTCAGTGTCGGTCCTCCATACAGAACTTGAAAGAGGTAGTTCAGTGACCGAATCAGGTGTGTTGGAGCAGGAAACGTGTAAAACGTAGGGCTGTGGCCCTCCAGGACCATAACTGCCCACCCCTGGTTTAGGTGAAGTGTTGTCTAAGTGTAAAACAACAGATATGAAAATACTGATCCCTGTCATTTTAAATACAATCAACAGTCAAATAAACAATCCCGTTAATTTTAGCTACATTTAATATAATAATATTAATTTACAGTTGACCACTGCAAAAAACATCACATTTCACAGCCTCAGTTTTTGTGGATTTTTCTTTACAGCTTGATTAATATTTATTTGTAGAAACATTTGCAATTTTGGAACCTAAGATATCCACTAAATTTTTGTGTCTATAATGCGCAGTTGTTTTTACATACCTTTATCATCATCTTCATCAGGTTCTATTAATATAATTCATTACTGGTGAGTATACACACACTTTACTGTAATATTAATATTAAGGAAATTATTACAATTATTTACTTCAATCATATCAAAGAAAATGTGGGTTTGAGAGCATGTTTAGTATTTAAATGATAAAAATAGTAATTTATTGGCCACATTTTCACTATTTAAAGAGAGCTGTACAAACATAACTCTTGCAAATGTAAGGGGTCGACTGTAAACATTTGTAAATTCATATGTAAAATATTTTTGCATATAGAAAAAGGATTTTATTTGCCATTCTATAACATTTTTAATTTCACAGTGACTGACAGGAAGAATTCTGTTGAACTAATACTTTTCCAAATTCATAACTTTTAGAATAAGTTAATATTGAAATGTTTCCTTCATAAGACATGTTTAAGTGTTTAAAACATAAAACAATTCAAAAAACAGACACAAACAAACAAATTAATTAAAACAAACTAATGGGGTCCCAAATTTCTGGGAAATTTGCAAATTTTAAAAATGTGGGGGAAAAAATAGAAAAACGGGGGAATTCCACAGTTAATCTGCATCTTTTGATTCATCAACACTTTCCACACAGTTAAAGAAATAAAATAAAATAAAAACACAAAAATTAAAATACAAAAGATCACTATATATCTCTTATATATATCTCTGCTGTTAAAACAAACACTACACATAGTATTTTACTCATCCCAGAGGAAATTTTTAAATGAGTTTTTAATCTGTAAAAAATGTTTTTAATATGAAATGAATTTATTTAATTTTAAGTTTCTACTTTAACGTTACCTGTTAAACAACAGATAATAAAATTGTAACATATGCTTTAGATGATATTTTACACCATTTTAACTCACAGATAATTTAAAGTGAAAAACAAAAACTAAGATATAAACAGATTATAATCTGAAACATGTGGGCATTTTTAATTAGACAGTTTTGTTTTAATAAAGCTAATCCCAGTTTGTGGCTCAGTACAGCAGATCTGATGTAAAAACTGTGTAAAGACATTTCTTCATGTTGAATGTTGTGTTTCCTGTGTGTGTTTTTGTGTATTCTGGATGAAGTGTTGTCCATCTGCTCAGCTCAGCAGCAGCTTTTCAAACCGCCTGCAGAACTCAGTCTGTTCCTGCTGCTCCCTCAACAAAAACCATGTGGATTTGTGTGTTTATTTCCTGACTGTGATCAGCCACAACATTACGACCAGCTGCCTGACCCTGTGTGGTCGTCTCCTGTTTAAATATAAACTGTACGAAGAGACGAGTCAGGATGTTAATCTGTGGGAGTGTCTGTGGATACGGTGCAGATCAGTGTCAAATGTTTGGTTTAATTCAATTTATTGTGTTTTATACATTTAGGTTTGTTTTAACTGAATAAATGCACTAAAGGTTTCAGGATATTAAGGAGGGTCTCTATAAATCACCAAAAGTCACATTGGTCCCATAAACCACAAATACGAGTACGTGTGTGTTCACAATTTGTGTTTAGATGAGGTGATGTTTCAGTAAAACAAAGAGTTGTGTTTTACTGCCCACAGCCACAAACACACAATAGCAGGTAAACAACAACAACAAACAACAACAACATGAGGCTCAAACACAGGAAGACAACAGGAAATCAGTCTGAAACTCTTAGGGAACATTTCCTGTGGGTGGGGGGCATGGAGGTGGAGGGGGAACAAAGATGGCTGATGAAGTCTGAATGGGGGGGCATGGTCACATCAGATCATTATACCAACACTCTGCTGCTATAATGCCATCTCGCCTGGGGTGGGGGGTGGAAACAGAGGAAGGAGGGGCAGCTGATGATCACGTGTTGCCTGACCTCTGGCATCATCATCAGTCTGACCTTTGACCTGGAGTTCTGTTTTCTGATTGTCAACAAACCCCCCGAGCAACAGAATCCCAACGTAAACAACAACAAATCACCCCGTCACCAAAACTAAAACATGTCTGAAGCTTTGCTACAAACACGAGGCGTTCAGACAGGATGAAGGGGGTCTGGAGGGAAGCCAGCTGCCAGAGAGGTTTAATGACGAAAAGAAAACCAGGTGACCCAGATCCACTTTAGATTCAGCAGGTGTGGAAACATTCAGAAGGAAAACACAGAAACAGTCATTAAAGCATAGAAGTTCAGAGGAGACTCTCCCACCCGGGCCCACACCGGACCCGGCCCAGCCCGGGCCCACACCGGACCCGGCCCAGCCCGCGACATCCAGCAGGGAGAGAGGAAGACTTGGATCAGAGCATCAGTCAGAAACACAGGACATGTGAGACCATGAAAACTGGACTGAACTAATCCCAGACTGGTTCTGATGCCTGCAGATCAGAACCTTTAACCAGAACAGGAACAAAGTGGACAAACTGTCAGATATAATCTGCTCTGTTAAAAACACTGTTTAAGTTTCATTATACGCCTACACATATATATATATA